TTATATTGTCATTGTATTATTAAAAGTGACGATTGTTTCAAGAGGATATCAATATTTTTGAGGATAGGAATTAACTTTCTCAATTAATCTCCGACGCTTTCGGACCATTGTGATTGCGAAGGGAAAGATTCCTCGACCTACGCGAGGAATACTGTATGAGCTTCATTCATATTTCAGCCAATCATACGGCAAGAACTCAAGAGCTCGCAGGGGTTATATTAGGCCAGAATATTTCAACTCTCTCGCGAACTGAAGCTCTCATCGATTTCCCTCTTCGTGAATACTTTATCTAATCATACGATCGCTTTAATGGAACGACGATTTACAGCGGAACGCGCTTAAACATTTCAAAATAAAAAGACTTTCTTTTCATTTCATCACTCATATTAAAAATAGTATGTATTAATATTAATATAACACTTTATGTCCTCGCATATATACTCTTGCCGCGCATACGTGTATGCAGAAACAAAGCCGGTGAATCGATACTTCTCGATAACGTGGGAATTATTTCGCGTCGATTTCACGCGCGGAAATAGACACTTTACATGCGGCAGCTTATGTTTGATAAACATGTTAACGAGATGTCAAACCGGTAATCACGATAATTAATATTAGCAACACGTGCTGCTAATATTAAGTTCAAGATTAATTTAAACGGAAGGAGATCGATGTCCTCCTTCAATTAACAATTTATCGACCAGCAATTTTTATTGATTACTCTTCTCTGATTAGGAGGAAAATTAAACACTTGTCAATAAATATTTTTGCTGTTAATGTTAGAGCTAACCATATATCTCGTAGACTTTAAAACTAGCAGGTATCGGCATATCGAAAAGATCTCTTTTTTTTTATCTAAGGATTAAAATCAGATGTGTAATAAAATATAAATATAATAGAAATAAGTACAATAAAATTATTAAGACAGACGTATCGTAAGATGGACTTTTACGTGAGTATACCAAGCGCTCAAAGTATCGCAAAAACTCCCTATTACTCTCTCGAGGCAACCCCGTGTGTGCGCGAAGGGAGACGCAACGCGGCCGCTAATCGTATTGTACGATTTCACGCCCTCGGCATGGCGTGCCTGCACAATAGCGCCGGGTCCCCGATAGGGCATTATTACGAATCTCACGATCGTACAGTACGTACATACTACTGCCGTGCGCGATCCGCTCATTACGTTTCATTTGTCCGGTGCCATGAGCGCCATTTACGCATGGCAGGCATCATTAACCCTTTTAGCGCCGGATGAGTGAGCCATCGATCGTATACGTGCCATACGTTATGGGTATGCGCAGAGTCGACTTTAGCGGGTACGAGGCTCAATTTGGATCCCTTTTCAGCAGGATTTCTAGGATTTAAAAAGCCGGCCGCTACTTGCAATTTACGTAACGAGCTAATATCTTTCACGAGCATGTGAAAAGTCCTGAAGGATGCACATCCGCTGCTCGCAGAATTGGATTTTGTTATGCGGACAAAGCAGAAATTTCGAAGCACGGAACCATGTTGAGCTAAATCGATAGAGATTGAAACCCATCGTCGCCGAGATGATCCGATTTTGATGCTGCTGATTGACACGCTCGTTCGTAACGAGAGAAGAATGTGACAATCAACGTATAAATTCTTTTCTACAACGGAGATGGAACTTGTACCGTAATTATTCCAGTTCGTCTCCTCTTGAAAAGTCGATCAAATCGGTACAAGACCGGCCCGGGATACGTCCGTGCATATTGATGTACTACGGAATATACGAATACACGCTCGGGCACGTTCTCGAGAGGGAAATAAGGGACGGAGCGCGTCTCGTTTCACGACGTACCTCAGAACCCGGCTTCTATGTCGCGACGCTACTGCAAGGCGAGGCGAGGCGAGGCGAGGCGAGGCGAGGCGACGCGACGCGACGCGACGCGACGCCGTTTCAATGCCGATCCATATACCCGTCAGGTTCACGCAGACAATCTCGGGCCCGACGCGTTTTTCTTTTCTGAATACGCGAGCGATTTACTCTTATATCCCCGACGCCGTGCGATTTAAGAGCTGCCGATACTACGGACGCGCGAGAACGATAACCAGATGCGAGAGAAATTTCACAGACGGTGGATCGTAAATCCCCGATACCATTCAATTGGGAATCAATGCGCTTATGTATTATTTGCCAATTGAAGCTACCTTCCTGCTGAGAGTGACGATGAAACGACGCCGTCTCTGGCGTTCATAACTTTCCTAAGCGTCTCTTAATTCGACGTAGGCGCCTTTTTTGTTCCAATGAACTGTAAAATTGTATCGTAACTCTATTCTCGTCCTCTCCCTCTGTGCAGCTTATAAAAAAATAGAACTGATAAAAAATGATCTATTTTGTTTAACTACTTTTTTTCTCTTTCACTAAAGGGATAGAATATTTCTTTGTATAAAAAAATTCCTAAAATTTAATCATTTTGTAATTTTAATTAGTATCTTGTAGTAATTAATGACAATTGATAAAAAGTAACATTCTATGGTTTTTTATATATAAGAATTTTCCATATATTCATAAAAATCTATTTTTATTATAAAAAAAATTTCTAAATATTTTATCACCCTTTCATCAAGTAAACCCGACATCTATCTTCGCTAAAAAGCTGTTTCTTCACAAAGACTGCGTCGGCAACTTTCCTTTCACTTGTCCGAATAAAATCAATAAAAATGTTAAAATATGTATATTTTTATTATTAATCATATATTTCATATTCTATTTAAATATAATACGTCAAATTAAAAATCTTTCTATCGCAATAATAACTCAACATTTAATAAATCGATTATCCGAATCAACCCCCATGTGAGTTTAACTACCCCTCACTAGATGGCGATATCTTTTTCTATCTATACCGAAACAACTGTGCTTATAAAACTAATAATAATATGAAAACGACGAAATATAACATTGACAGAGGATTATTAAATTGATTATTAAATATTATAAGACAGAAAGAACATGGAATTAATTGTATTAAGAGCTTTTACAAAATATAAGATATGAACAATCAACAACTTGCAAAATTATATCATAATATAATACCGTCTTTTAAATTAAAAAAAAGGGAGAATAAACTTGTTTATAAATTATCGACGAAATGGACTACACAAGATTCAACACTTCACATGTTAATGATTTATTAACTTAGTTTCACATACAATAGTATTATGCGTGAACGATCAAACATTGTATAAACAAAATTTACAAAATAAAGTATAAGTCTTTACAGCTAAAAGCTACTAGTAGTAGTGGATCACATAGCTTCATACTTTTCCTCGGATACGGCAAATATTGCTCTTCCCGAGACTATCCATTTTTTTTTACTTTATGTTCTCTATCTCTCATGTATGTATATATATGTATTTATATTTATATATTTATATATATTCATATTTATATATTTATATTTATATATAAATATTATGCCAAGTGTTAAATAGGGTAGCCTTTAGCTAATTCGTCCTAGCATGGAATTTGGGTGCGGGAACATAGGGAAGGGAAAATCGGGGGGGAGGGAGGGAGTTTCATCGTACATTGTATATTACATTCATTTAATTTAACGATCTCTCTCCCCCTCTCTCTTTCTCTCTCTCATTCAGCCTCTCTTTCACAAGTCATTCATTCATTCATTCATTCATTTCTCTCTCTCTCTCTCTCTCTCTCGTAAATATAAAATTATCATCTCTTATTGTAATACCACTGATAATTGATATAATACGCATATAGCTATGTTATCTGCAATAATATTTATATTATACATCGAAAGTGCATTCGGTCGTGTTTCTCGTAAATTTGTAATGCGATCACGATAAGTTGTTTGTTCCTACCAACGAAAAACTGTCCCATCTCGTTTTCCTCCTTTTTTGGTGCCGCTTGCAATCGCATTCGTTCGCTGAAAGGATTCCGTTCCTTCGTTTTCATCACGATTCTTTCGCGCATGCACACATTCTTCCGTCATATACACTCGCACGCACATACACACTGTACATTCCGTTACAGGGGAGGGCAAAAAAAATGGCCCGCACGCTCACGTTTCCTCGTTTTATATCTCTCTCAAAACACAACAAGCGAACGAAACCGCTCCGTAAATACTCTACTTTTGATAAATAATAATAGAGCAATAAATATCTGCCGAAAATCACGTGAATCTTACTCACGCTCCAATAACTATCGGTATATATAATTTTCCAAAAGATTCGCCGCGCGCGCCTAATAGTCCTCCGTCCGATTAAACCGTCAACTATTACTCCTTACGCTACGCCGTAATTTCTCATCGTTAATTATTCTAACAAAATCATCTCGTCCAGTCGACGCGACGCGACGCAACGCACACGGGTTTTCCGACGATGTAGGCCTTTCGTTAAACTTACGGTGTCGAGCTGACTGAGCCATCGAGGAAGAAGTTTGCCCTTCGATAAAAAATTCTATTACCTCAGAAGTGAAATTTCTTCGCGACACGAAGGAATTGAATGAATGAATTAAAAATAAAAACAGCGTGTTAAAGACAGGACATAGAGAGTTGTAGAACATATATCGTGATTTAAGAAGACTACTTCTCCCATTTTACTTTCATGTTGTATAAAAACGTGTGGCGTGTATTAAACGTACTCTACTTACGTCATATAACGACCCGTAAAGAATGTTCTTATAAAATAGCCCTATAAGTATTTCTTCTCTCGCTTTCCGCGTTACAACGTGTCAAATAATTAGAAGCCACAATTTTCGCTGTTGATGGAGATGCCATTATTACACACACGCCCGACATCGTTCGCTCGACGGCTCGTGTGTACCTCAATTGATACTACCGCCCGCCGACATTTAGCATTAAACAATCGTGCCCGTCGACTATTTATCGCACGGCGTGATTATCAATAAGGCGTGTATATATATATATACGTATATATATATATTTATATGTATATCTATTTACAATATCATGGAAAATATACAAAGGACATCGGCACTACAGTATATATTCTCGATTCTTTTTTTTTTTTTTTTTAAGACGTTTGATTCTTGCGTTATATGTCACTGAGGTAAGTTTTTCACTGGTTTTTAAACTACGGTCACTCTCGCGTTGCACGCCCGAGAGAGCGAGGAGAAAGTGCTCTCGGCAAAACTGGTTCATATCGATCCCAGAGGAGAAAGAACTAGCGAAGAGACCCACGCGCCGAATTGCGAGGACCGTTTCTACAAAACTCCAACATTCACGACGCTACAAACTTTCAGACAGTGCCGTCTTACTTTCGCGAGTGTGCACTTGTCGGAAGAAATGATTTTAGAAGAAAACTTTTCCGCGTAACAATAGTCGGAAACAGATTATCTCGTCCGTACTGTAGACATACGTGTCGCTGAAAAATTAAGAATTGTATGTCGCGAAGAGTAACTAAATTATACTGTGTGAATTGTGGAACAATCAATTAGTAAAATGAGAAAAATTGAAAAATTCTGAATGTCTTGTAATTGTGTTGAATTTTGTAAAAGCGGCCCTCGATTACTCAACCACGGGTTATTCGAGATGAAGGAAATCGGATTAAATTTAGAAATGTTCTTAACTTTAAACGGTCCCGTTGTGTATGTATGTGAATGTATGTGTGTGAGTAATAGTGTGTTGGTGTGTGTACAGCGATGCCAGCCACTCGCTACATTCTTAAATTCTCCTCATTATCTTTTTTCTCGTCTTCATTTTCGCGCAGTACGCTTTACCGAAAACGTGCAGATTTCGAAGAATTGTCATTCGCGGCCGGTGATATGTCTTTCGTCATTCATCAAATGAAGCGTTGCGTTGCAACGCGCTTGGTCATGATGAAATGCTACGAACCGTGTCACGGGAAGCGATTCTCCTCTGTCGAAGATTTTTTTTTTGAAACTTAGCGAGTAATACGTGATATCGCGAGCTTTTGATTTAATTTGATATAATTGTCCTTAAGTAGAGACGCGCAAATGGAGGGGGGAGGGGGAACCGCTCGCATGAAATCTCCACGAGCTTTTACATCGTCTACGATATTTGTGATGATGAAAGTGGCCCAAGTCACGATCACGTGGGAAAATTCAACTAATTATGCTCCTCGTTTTATAACGTCGCATAGAACGTACCTTAAATCACAGGAAAAATGTAGCAAAGGTAAATATTCTATATTTAAGCTTCTCGTAAATATGTTGAAAAATATCTTCTCATAATCTTCTCCCAAAGAGATTTTATATATGCGTCACAAAGTAAAAGATATGACTCAGGCAACTTTCTGCTTCACGAAAAGACAGAAAACGTATAGTTTCAGATAAGATTTCGCTTGCAGAAAAACCCGTCTTCGTGAATGGTCTGTGGTTTCCCGCAGATATATACGGTGTGGACATCAAGCTGTTATCTTTTGATATAAGAGTTACTCCCCGTTTTAATCCCAGAAGCAAATATTCGCTTACAGACTCGTCGCATACGCGTACCTCTGCGAACGATAATTTATTCGTACGTAAACTAGTTGCTTTATGTTGGCCTCCCTTACAACCGAGTTATATTCGTTATTATGACGGTGTCATCGTCATAAGTTGACATATTTACAGCCGTAATATAACACTAAAAGATCTGTACGCGGACCCGTATTGTTAAGTATTACGCAGCCGGTGCATTTGTATAGCGGAATTTCTCAACACCGATCAGGATACACGCGACAATTAATGCATTCCTCAAAGAAATCCAGATCCGTTAGTCGCGGAAAATGTAAATCAAGAATCGCGCGATCTTTTTTGATACTTGCATCTTGTTTTTTATTGTCTATCATATGTTTCCGACGCGCCGGAATTATCTCAATAATGTAAATTCGAGATTTTTTAACGTACCTTCGAATTCGCTGTTTATCGTAAACGATCATTCTTATTTTTGAAATCGTGATTAAATTTTGCGCATGTATGTGCGCTTTAGAAAAATGTAGTCGCCAAATTGATGCGGCATCACGCAATTCAAGTATATATAATTACAAGATTTCTTACACAGACGAAACGTAAACGAATGTCTTGAAACCATTCTTTTCGAGGAATTCTAAATTGATTGCATATTTTAATTCTTACCCCGAAATTTGATTTTGTTTGTATTCATCTAATTAATACTACATAATTTTTCAAAACAATCTAGGAATTTTGAAATTTGTTGTAAGTCCTGAAAAAAATCGAAATCAAATTGAAACGTCAAAGAACAATCGCTCGTGTTGTTATCCGTTAAAAACACCGGATGCCGAACTGTGCAGTTTCCGATTGCATCGCTACGGTATGCTAAATCGTGAATTATTCAGTCGCAGCGTGTCCCAGGTTTACGTCGTTCGAGGAACATCGTTAAAAAAAAAAAAAATGATCGCGCAGATCAAAAGCGCCCTGCGGACGCGGGTAAGTTTAAAATGGTTCAACGAGCCTGTAACACGACATCGTCACAGTAAAACAATGATCCATACACTGTGTATAGCTTTCTAAAAAAATGCATTATTCTCTACGGATAGTGTAATGAAGGTTCATTCGCAAAAATATCTTTTTAAAACTATACACGTTTTGCTTACGATCGCCCGAAATACGTAGGCGAGTACACATTTTCAGGAAACATTCATGCCTCCCAATCGCACGTGTAAATTGTAAAAACCGCGCGTAGTATAACCGGGAGAGATCGTTCAATATGCATATTATCATAAAAAGTTTGCGTTTCAAAACGCCATTCTTTGTATCATCTCGTTAAAGGAATCAATAGACGAGCGTTCGTCGAATAAAATAAATCGTATGACAAATTATCCGTCTGTGTGATAGGGGTAATCTCCTTCTCTACCAATTCAAAAACGTCCGTGAGAAACTATTGCCTTTCTACTTACTTTCTGCGGTTACATACATGTGTATTATAAATAATCTAAGAATGCATGCTGTAGGCCTATTTTTGGTGAATCGGCCGTAGTACGATATATTTCCTGTACGTCGCTATTGATTATTTGCAACTGCAATTTTACATGCCTGACCGTTTCTCTATTAAAAACGGATGTTGTCTGTTACAAAACGGAATACGCTAAAGATGTTGCAACAGATGCTACGGTTGTTTAGGCTGTGTGTCGATAAATTTACAGAAAAGAAAACTTGTTTGCCAGTATGGCCAGTATCGCAATACAGCTCTTACGTTTAACGCCACGTTCCCCGTGGTCGTCGATTTCTGTATCCAAGAAATCGAAAGTACTTTTTTTCAATTTAATAAATTATTAATCATAGACGAGCTTTTTGATTATTTATCAGAGACGCTCCATTGCCAGAACGTCCCAAAGCGTATCGGTTAAGCTATGAGAAACAATTTTAACATGTAGGAGTAAAACTGTACAATATTTTGCTCGAAGATAAAACCCTCGTAATTTCAGGGGAAATCCGACTATTCGGATGCAGCAGATCACAGCGATCACCGAGATTTATTGTTAGTATATGCATAGTGCTTCATATGATTCCCAAAGCGACGCTTTTATATTGTTCGTATCGTATTAACATAGCATCGTAGCATCATCACGTATTTCTGCATCAATAGACTCGACTTTGTCTGTCGCGTTAGATTCGTTACATGTAATAGAATTCACGAATCACAGCTGCACTAAATTGTGCCCGCATTTGCAATCGCTATATTACGGTCGCGATTATGATAGTTGCCGATTGAAGCGAACGGAAATGTATCGGTTTTATGGGACGTGTAATTCGTGTGTAGATTTGTTACTAATAATTTATTAAACTGAAAGAGTTGACTAAATTACATCTCTGCGCGAAGATCATCGATACTTCGCGATATTTACGACAGGCTAGAGTCGCCGATTACGGATGTTGGCTAAACAACCGCGATCGGCACGGATCACCGACATTGTTTCTGTTCGGTTTTGGCATGGTCCACAGTGGCCACGGCCCTCTTCGATGATCTCTTGGCCTCCGATCTGCCGGCGCCATTGACACCCTTCGAGCTGGTTGCCGGCAGTGATGTCACCTTGGGCGACTTTTTGGTATCTTTCTGGTCGCTGGAGGCTTCCGTCATCTTGTCCAGTTCCGCCATCGCCTCTTGTATCGCGTTTTCCAATTGCATATTCAATTTACGACTTCTAGAAAAATAGGGGAGGCACAAGAAAATCGTACGGTTAGTATAGATGATTACCAGCGACCGCGCGTGCGATTCGATTCCGAATCAAGAACAAGAAAAATTAGGATCTAAAAGCTGAACAAATCGCGACTAAATATAATAGATTCTGTCAAGCATCAATGAATCAATTATCAGACAAAAAGATAAATAATTAGACAATAATTGACGTATATGATATTTTCTTGGCGAAAAAAAACCGCGTAAATGAATTGCATACAGGAAAATATGTATATTTTTTACTTAAGGAAAATTTTACGGATTTGAATCTTTTTAACACTTATCTCTATCTCTGCGCGATCATCATTGTGTTATAAAATCAGAGAGCTACGTATACAAATATAAAGAAAGGGGAATGAGAAGAAAGATGGCTGAGATTGGAGTAAAACCACTTAACATAGTAATGTCCAGCACATAAAAGTATCAGTATTCTTTGGCAAGTTAACAGAAAGAATATTGAACCGCTACTATGCAATAAGCTATACGGGATAGATTTAATTGGCTGTTGGCTTGCTAATAAATGCTATACGATTACGATCGTCAATAAGAACTTTCTTATTGAAGAAAGAAATTTATTTTCAGTAGAAATGTAAATTCATTTTTTTTTTAATCTTCTGAAATGTTCATGTGAATATGTTTCTTATTTCCATCGTATAATGCAATAAAAGAGTGACTGTTTCATGAATTAAATTTACAAAGATCTACCTCGTACAGCACTTACCACTTTTTATTTATTTCTCTTTTAAAAAAAATGTATAATTATATTTAATCAAACGTAAACTAAAATTCATATAACATCACGTGCATTTTATACAGTCCCAGGAAAGCGACATATTGTGCAACTCCACTTTATAACATTTAATAATGCTAAATAAAAGAATAAATTATCGTGCCTGTGTCAGAGTTCTAGGATCGACTGCCGGACGACAGAAAAGAAAAAAAAAGTAATTTTAATATAAAAAAGATATACTCAAGCATCTCCCGTTCTATTTCCCCCTCGATACAGTTTTGCGTTAACGCGATATCTATTCAGGTATAACGGGACGTATTTAAGAGGCTCTCATCTTTCGATAGTTCATCCCTGTCGGGGTGGCTGACTCACTTCCTAAACTTTTTACGGGCGCGATGATGCGCCTCGAGGCCTTCGGAGAGGGACTTGAGTGTCTTGACATCGACTTGGGTGCGACCGCCCCCGCCCCCGTACCACCGAACCCAAACTGTCATAGTACCCGGGGGGCCCAAAGACTCGACTTTCCCCGGCCAGGCCGGACTTCCTCTTGCTGCGCCCCACACTAGATCACCGACCATCAGTTTCCATTGGTTTCCGTCGTCTACGTCCTTTGTCTCTGCTACTGAAGGTTCCAAAGAAGGCACGGTGTTTTTCAGACTTTTATGATCTCGGCTGATTTCCGCGATATTGAAAAGAAGATAACATAAACAAAGCCCACCTCCGAAAAAAAAAACTTTTGTACAGATATATTAGATTGGAAATTTTTTGGAGTCATGTGATTTTTTTTAATGTGTAAAGATTGCAGATTAATTAATAATGAAATCTAATAAGATAATAATGTTATTATCTTTCTCTCTCTTATTAAAAAATAAGCCGTTCTCTCTTCTGCCACAATTCCCATTAGTTTACGAGATAAAAAGAACAATCTATTTTAATAAATCTGCCATGCATTATTGCGTATAGAACTTTTTAATTTTACGTGAATCGTTTTTGAAATACAAAGAATAATGTAATGTGTTTTAAGACGTTAACTCGGAGTATTGATTATAAATGCACGATTGTCTTAGCGTGATTGTCTGCCAGTTTATCATGACTGAAACGATCGATAGAATTTTTCTCACTTAAAAATAATTCAAATTTATTGTACAAAAAACATTAATGTACATGACACCGCGTATTTTCCATCTCATACATCTGTATTGATTTCGATTAAAATGTGCAACGCATAACAGCAAAACGTTCCGGTATGCTTATGGTGCGTATCGCAGAGGAATGTTCGAAACTGATGGTTCAACTACTTGTCCAGTAGTATCGCAACAATGTGCTTTTTGCTCGCATGTGTGTGCTCGTTAAAAATGATTAGTAGCTTCATTCAATGGTGGTAGGCGAGATCAGAGGCAGAATGAAATATCAGATGGTTCGAGCACATGCAATGATTTTGTCGAATGAATGCTGTTCATTCTATAATTCCCATCTCCATAATTTGTGTTCGCGAGATCTCCTCATCTGTATACACATCATTCGAATGAATAGCTATTTTCAGGAATCCGATTTTTAAGTCATGACGGATTATAAACTCTATCAACATCTATTGTTCTTATATTATTCCGTTGGTATAAAACGGGGATAAAAAGATTTAAATTTTATGGTAAACCATTCAATTTTGAAATACGATCCCATTTAAATAGTGGAACAATCGGATTTTCTGCGCTGTTGCAGATACGTAATCCCTTTTGTAAACTTTTTGTGTATTTCATATTATTAATATCTGACTTATCTCACATTTATATTTCGTTATTTAACTGTAAACGTTTCCCAATCACTGCAATTCGGAAAAAAATCTCCTCGGGAATATGCACATGCTGTACGTAAAACATGAGAGTGTATATATACAAGGTACGTCGAAATAACACACGGTAGTGAGCCACACCCCTTCCGAAATGAACGTATGATTCAAGCCCCTTGGCCACTCGAATGAGAGATGTAATTGCGAGGATAATGGTATTAACAAACCTGACAACCAATTAGTAAACGCAAAAAAAAAAGAAACCATCGAAAACATTATTTACAAATGTAAGAACAGTTATTTCTTCATTCTTTCCGCAAGCGACTCGTTGAAGACTCGTACTCGTGATGAACGAAAAGTCTCTTTTCCTTTTAATGCTGACGCCACTTACCTGGTCTCCACGATTACCCGTTAACGTGGTTAATAATGCGATGTTATATAACGAATAAGTACGGATCAGATAGATTGATCCGGAGAATTCAGCTCCGATTTCTTCTGGCTTGAAATCTCGATATGAAGAGGGAAGTGATTCTTCTAAACCCTTGCGCCCGAATATTGCGAAAAAAAGCTATTACCAAAGCAATTACGATGTGGCAAGCGTGTACTTCACCATGCAATAATGTTGCTAAGCATGCATATAAGCGATATAAATACATTAATAAATAAATTATTAAACCAGGCAAAAAAAATGATGGCATACATGGTTTTCGATGAAAGCTAAATTAAATAATGCCGATGATTTGACAATTTACAGCACGTAAATTAACTTCTACTGAAGGCGAAAAGTTCTAATTAAAGCACTCTTAAAAATAACATTCGTACAATAATTATTCAGTGACAAAGAGCAACGGGAACCATCGCCGTTCTCTCGTGGAAAACCAGAAATCAATACAAATAGATCGGCAAAACAACGATCGATGCTTCACACGTTTCTCGTTGTCACAAATAGCAACTAATAAAAGATACCCTGCCAAAGAAACTTTTTTACGAAACGTCTATCAAAATACAATACTGAATTAAGTAAAATATTAGCTAAATAAATAACTTACTGAATAGTCTTTACATCTATATTTGCGATTACATCACAAAGTAAAATTATTTAAAAATAAATATTCGTAACGTCTTTCAAAATATAAATAAATTAATTCCGATATATTATTCTATTAAAAATTTTGAAAGGTTGTATATTGTTCGTCCATGCTGCTTCTCTCGTCGCCAATCGTTATCAAAGTTTCTTCGTAGAATATTTTTGCTACTAAGCGGGACTACTCGTATACGATTAACGTCTAAGAGTACCATACAATACTGACCATCTTGGTCTTCATGCAGAGTAGAATGCATGGAATGGATGGAGTCCAGCTTTCGCTTGATTCCGCGGCCGAGGGCATGTTCCCTGCCCTCGCACCTCACCGTGCTCACCACACCTTCGGCTTGCTTCAATGTCTCTGACGTATAGATCTGTCAAATACAACTCGATCAACTCAGGCACAAGCCTACCAATCGCATGCTAATATCATTTCAGTGTATCATTCAATGCCGACCTATTATCTTTTTTTCTTTTTTTTTTTCTCATTGTAAATTCCGTTTCATGATCCACAAGAACTTTACAGTTTCTCCCGATCGAGCATAGGAGACAAGAGCAGTTTGCAAGATTTTAATTTAGACGTAAAAAAAGTAGAAAAAGAATGAAAAAGAGCAAATAAAATTAAAAGAAAAAAAGATTTGGAAAATACGAAAGTTATAGAATTTTGATCTTTGTCTCCGATGCTTTTAATGCAGGAATCACGTGACAAATTTAATTTATCGATACATGCAAACGATAATGATACCAAAAGAGACAAACTCAAACTCTTTACGCATGCTTACGTTGCAAGGTAATTTTTCATCAGGTATATGTTCAAAATCATATAACTTTTATCAGAAGATACTGTTCAGTAAAAATTTATTTTTTCGTTGTTATATAAAAAGGAGTAATTTTCTGATTAATCCGATTAATCAACACACGATTAATAATACAATTACATTATTGCAATAATAATGATTTAAATAATAACGCTACGAATAAACCAGCGTATGCGCTCTCACGCAACAGCGCGGATGTAAAAATTATTAAATACAAACTAATTACAAACTTAATATTACCGAGTATAAACCGATCGCAACCTAATAATGCCACTGGTTTAAATTCAATTTACAAAATCGATTAATTTTATATAACCCGTGCGAAAAGAAAGGTGCATCTATTCATCCGACGACGAGTCACTCTCCTCAGCGTCATCGCCTTCTTGCGCATATACGAATTGATTGTAAACATACGGATTAATGTAGGCTTGCTTATTAGGTGTGTAATTAACAACAGCAATACCATTAGGGTCAGATCTATAATTATACAAATGCGGATACAAGCCGGATGGCCCGATGCCAACGAATTTTTGCGAATAGCCAACATTCTGTGGACAATAAGAAACACCGGTATTTGGTCGTTCCAATGATTTTTCTTCGGAATTTTGCTCGATCTCGTCTTGCTCCATGACATGCTGCACGATTTGAGTACCAACACGACTGCTATCGACGCACGATTTGCCGTCGAACTTGCCGTTCATTTGCGGCAACATGGTGTAATGAGCGTGATCTGGCACTAAGGCTTGCTGTCGATAAACATTCGCATTGGGGACATAGTGCTGGCCGTGATAAAGGATTGGCTGATAATGACCGTGACCTATGATTGGCAACGGATTGACCTCGATCTCCGAATAGGAAACGTCCGTCATTTCTTTACTGACGCTTAGTTGATCTTCCACGGCAGAGTGGTCCATTGTGTCTGAATTAATGGAATGATTTGGTGATGATGTGTCCATATGCTCCTGTGAGTCAGCGTATGTGTTTTCTGGGTGTGTCGTATCGGCCGGCTGGTGCATGTCTATTACAGTTAGATGACGGTTGACCTGCTCTACGTGGGTACCAACCTGGATCCCAGTTGTCACTGTCGACTCTACGTAGGTCTTTCCGTGCAGACTCGGTTGGTTTAACGTGATCTCCTTGGTAGCGATACCCTGCATTCTCCAATCCTCTGACGCCACCTGCGCGTCGCCTGAGTCCGGCTCGCTGCTCGACACGCAATGAACCATAGGCTGAAAATAAATTGCGCATGACATGCGAATTAATAAATTAATAATCATTTTTTTTATCGAGGGAGGAAAAATCTTTTTAGCTGCAATAATAGAGAAGATTAAATAAAGAAATCAGAAATATTTCCTTTTTTCTCAATAAGAGATATTGATAATTAAATAAACTACTTTTGCTCGAAATTATTTTTTACCGTGGACGATGAATGATGTCTGGCGGTGATTGGAGGCGCTGGCGAAGCTGCACCGTGTGTAGTAGTATCCACGGCCGGGCTGTTGGACCTCTGACTGTTTCCTGGGCTATGGGTGGTCGTGTCGGGAGGAGATCCTTGCCGCATCATCGTCGATTGCGCCACGTTCGTTTGATTTCCTGCAGTTTGCGTCGATACAGAATGCCTCGCCATCAATGGGCTGTGCTGTTCGTTTTGTTGAGCCGTTTTTTCCACAACGGTCGTGCTACTACTAGCAAGCACGTATTGCTGCTGTTCGACATTTTGATCGGACGACGGCGAATTTACGCCGCTCTTTGGAGAAGATGACGCCGCTTTACCCTGGATCATACCGGAACTCAGGATATACGACTGATTATCGAGATTTAAAGAAGGATCGACAGTTTGTCCGCCGTTAGAAGCTGCGTTTTGAAAATTTGGTATCTGATTATTCGAGACCATGGTCGTCTGCTGCTGTACGATTGTCGTGTTTTGTTGCACAAAGGTTGTATTTTGTTGATTCGACGCCGAGGAGACAGCGATATTTTGTGCAGTCGCGCAAGGTACCATAAGCGTTTGCCCATTCATCTGTATGAACTCTTGCTGACCTTGCATGTTTGGCGGTCTCACTTGCGAGGTGTTAAATGTTACTTGCTGATTCGGACTGACATTCGCCACTATCGGGCTCAGTTGATTCCCGAAGGATGTAGTACCATTCACTAGGAACTGGCCGCTATTCGGCGAAAGAAACTGCGCTCCTGGGCTATGCTGTTGAATTATCTTTCCGCCAGTCGCTTGCGGCGCTCGTATGACCATGCCGGCTGGACCGGCGGCCAATATACTTTGACTCGGATTAAATATGCCGCCGTGGCTTTGTACCGGCGTCAACACGTTCTGACCATTGACATTCTGTATCTGGAGTTGCATTCCGATGTTACCCGTATCTTGTAATAACGTGGCTGTTCCGTCCGCAGACATCACCATGCTACCCAAACCGGGCACAATAAACTGTTGAATGGTGGGAAAATTCTGAACCATCCCAGTCGTGCCATTTAACAAATTCACCGGTTGAAGAAGATTTATCTGCTGAGCTGGTTGAGGATTCGTGATTATTTGCTGAGTGTTAAATTGCGCGGACGCTGCGCCGGTCTGACCGTTCATCACGAGCTGCGCCGGTGCCCCGCCTTTACCAGGCACAATAGTTAGCGCTTGGAGCATGGGCCCGCCTATACTCTGAGTCTGAAAGTTTTGTTGCGCGAAATTTGATTGCGACTGCATCAACATACCAGCGTTCTGCTGAGACGAGGCGATATGTAGCATTGACGCCACGGTTTGTGGATTCGCTTTTCGTTTCTTGTACGCCTTTTTCTTGGTCATCGCCGACTCTGGCGACAATAACGTCGCTTGTCGATTCATCGTCATGCCTTGATTGGCACCGACCGTCCTGGACACGTCTTGATTTGCGTCAATGATCGACTGGGTGTTTTGTATGACGTTACCGGTGGCGACCGTTAGATGTGGTATCTGCACGTTCTGACTTAAGCTGTCCATCGTCATTACGCTAGGTTGAATTAACACTGGAGTTTGAATAGTATTCACGAGCACCGTAGGTTGCCCTATCACTTGCTGAGCTACGCCCACCGCGGGTATTACTTGGCTGACAGCTCCGGTCACGCTGGTAACCATCGGCGACACCGATAGCGGTGGCATAGAATTGGCGTTAGAAATTATTTTCGGCGGAGGAGGCGCCATCACGCCATTGATAGCCGATCCAGTACTCGCCATTATGAGTTGACCGCCGCTGGATACCAATATATGACCAGGTGGTAGAGTCGATCCAGCAGAATGTTTCAATATACCGCCCGAGGTGAGAACGTTATGAACTTGAACGTTAGCTTGAGGATGTTGTTGTGGTTGATGATGATGATGATGATGCTGCTGCTGCTGCTGCTGCTGCTGCTGCTGATGCTGCTGCTGTTGCTGCTGCTGATGCTGCTGCTGCTGCTGCTGCTGCTGTTGATGCTGCTGTTGTTGCTGCGTCTGTGGCTGCAATGACGAGTTAGTGCTCGTCTGAGGTACTTGTATGCTACTAACAACGCTCTGAACCATTTCAAGCGGTGATTTAGACACGCTCATCGTCGAAGATTGACTGAGTGGAATAGAGGAGTGCGTCGTAACTGGAGTACCCGGCACATTTGTCAACGTTGCAGATTGTACCTGATTCTGTGGCTTATTCGGCAGAAGACTGGATATAGCAGGATTCGATATTGCAGATGGTGTGTTTATGGAAACGGTGGCCGTGTTCGCCCTTCCAGCTAACACAGACGTAATCGTATTACTGCTAACTGTATGGCCGCTTGCCATAGTTGTTATCACGGACGATGTTCCGCCGAAAGTATTCATAGGTATCCTAGAGACAGCATTGACGGTGTGTGGGTGAGGTTGATAGCCGTCTAGAGAATTTTGCCTGGTTATTTGCCGTTTCACTTGTGATGTTAAATTATCCGATGCAGAGGAGGACATCTGTGATGGCGACGTGCTAGGTGGGATACCGCTGGAACTCATCGTACCCGAACTAGGAGTCTCCGATCTTTGTTCTTGAATACTGCCACCGATCAAGGATTGTGATAGCTGCTGTTGCGCTTGTGGAGTTAATGTCTGCGATGGCATTTGGCCCGAGACATGCGAATGAGGTGTCGGCGGTTGCGAATAACTGTGTGGCGTCGCCGGTTGCGATGAGATGAGACTCTGCGGGGTTGCCGGTTGCGAAATTCCAGGCGTCGAGGCTGCTGGTGTGTCCGAATTAGCTGGACTATTCGTGCCGATAGGAGATCCATGACTGGTGCTCACAGTACCGCCTTGTATCGGTCTAGAATCAGCTTGTGATTGATTATTTGTTTGATATCGCTCGCCGAACGTCGACGACGTAACAGGATCTTCGCGCTGATCCGTATGCATCAGGTACTGTCGCGGCATTTGCTGCTTATACTGATCCTGAATATAGGATTGTGTATCGGCGCTAGTGACACAGCCTTGACATGGACTGCTCTCAGAATCCGTGCCACTGCTTGATGTCGGCGTCATACTGCTGTGTACAACAACCGGTGAGGTTGCGTGATTTTTTACGGAAGTAAATGACGAGGTACTCGTGGGACTGGCGATAGAGGAAGGCTTTGGTTGAGGAATATAGGTGTTAGGCATATGCATACCGTGACTGGTCTGAGACATTGCTTTCGAATTATTGTTCAACATGCCCACTTGAGAACTACTGACACCAGTCTGTCTTGATATCGTGCTGTTTAACAACGCCGTTTGCTGAGCGAGGTATCCACTGGGATCCTCTAGGAACGAAGGACCGCTGCTGTTGAACGTCGAGCCTACCTGACCATTATTTTGCTGATTGTTCTCGCTGAATTCATCTACTGGACTTGGTGTCGAATGTTCTAGACTATTGTTTGTTCTCGACATCTCAGTGACTCCATGCGGTCTCTGTTTCTTCACTATCATCTTATTCGACTTTGCCTTTTTCCGTGCGGCCTCGTCCGTCCAATTGGAAGGCTGTGGAATGTGATGATGAAGTGGTGGTACACGGTCAAACGAATTGCAGGTAACATTCTGAACCGTGACGACGGATGGTTGATGGGATGCAACCGCGGCGCGATTTTGTTGCCATGGCGGTGTTCTGTTGTTGAAATGCATATTGCCGGGTTGCCCGTTTGGTCCCATACCAGACTGCTGTACCTCGACAGTGTGACTGGCGTTCGGGCTTCGTCCCGTATGATTGGACAGAAACTGCTGTTGATGTCCCATCTTGGCATCTGTATTCGTTCCCTTCGAAGAATCGAAATTTCTTGCCGGATATTGTACTTGATTCTGAGCGTACATCCGTTGAACATTCTCATGAGGATTATTCGGTAAACCACCATTTTGAACTACGTGATGTCGCTGCATCGAATGATTATGTAATAAAAGTTGTTGCTGCTGCTGCTGCTGTTGTTGTTGTTGCTGCTGTTGTAACTGTTTCGCGTTCAGATCTTCGTCAACTGATGATGCTCGGTTGTGCCTATTCTGAATGTCAATGGCATTGACATTGGTCATGACGGCAGAACCAGTTTGCTGCTGCATAATATCTACGGAGTGATGATTCAATTGTTGGTTCGAATATTGTGGCTGGATGCACACTTGCGACATTTGCTGCTGATGCTGCTGTTGTTGCTGTTGTTGTTGCTGCTGCTGCTGTTGTTGTAATTGCTGCTGAATTTGCATCTGGAAGTGATCCGTCGACTGAGATTGCATAGCGTGTTGATTCTGCTGCGACTGTTGTGGTTGTATCTGATGCTGATGAAGTTGATGCAATTGCGGATGAAGGGTTTGATTCGACACTTGCGACGATTGCATGTGATGCACGTAATTTTCCACAGGATGTTGACTATTGTAATTTGTCGACTGTTGTTGATCCACTTCCTGAGTTAAATGTTGCTGCTGCTGTTGCATATTGTGTTTTTGAATCTGCTGCAAATGTATCTGTTGTTGTTGTTGTTGCTGCTGCTGTTGATTCAAATGCTGCTGCTGTTGTTGCATTACATGTAATGACTGCTGATTGAGCTGATTGATATAATGAGGAGCCTGCTGTTGCGCTAATTGATTTACCACAGTATTCTGCTGCTGCTGTTGTTGTTGTTCTTGTTGTAAAATTTGCATGTGTTGCAGTTGCTGCTGATGCGGTATCAATTGCTGTGTTTGTTGCTGTTGCTGCGATATATGCTGCTGAATAAGCTGTTGTTGTTGCTGCTGCTGCTGCTGTTGTTGCTGTTGTAGGATAAGTTGTTGATGTTGCTGTTGTTGTAAAAGCTGCTGCTGCTGTTGAGTCATATTATTGAAATTTGTACCCTGCTGATTCATAATCAATGGGTTGCTCATCAGCATGCCCGACATATTATGTTGATTTAGCCTCTGCTGAGGAGGATTTCTCGCACAACTGCTCACGTCATTCTGGGAAGGCGAACTTAAAGACTGATGACAGATTTGTTGTCCGTTCTGTTGGACTTGCAGATTTGGAATCGCGATTGGCCATACCTAAAAATCAATAGATTGTATTTAAATGCTTGAAAAAATAAATGTTAACAAATAATATAATGTATTAGTTTACCAGACAAGATGTTTAATAATTCGTAATTAAATAAAATAATTGATTTGTAAAAAGAGGACAAGTAAAATATAAATTTTGTTAATTGTGTAGTGTTTCTATATAATTATATATATATATATATATATATATATATATATATATGTATAAGAATACTTTGTGTCATTCAATATTGTGTAAAACATTCAGTAAAAAAAACACAACTCCTTACTCAAAAAGGAGACCGGTAATTTGCAATTCAATTAAAGCTACGACTCAATTACCTGCGATCCATTAGGCACCGGTGAACCTTGAACTCCAGATGCCGCAACCGCGGCAATAGCTCTCTCCCGTTGTGCCAGAAGTTGCGAAACCGAGACGCCGGAATAAATGCCGCCTATGCCTCCTAGTTTCCTCTTCTTCTTCTTGCTGAGACCATCTGCGCACACCAATAAAGTATCTCTTAATAAACCGGAATCCAATTACCTTCGATTCGCCGGCATCTATTTGAAATTGAATCGACAAAGGCTTTTCCCGTCCGGAGCGGGAATTGTGGAAGACGATAAGTCCTCGGCACTGTAGAAATTAAAATACGACTTATTCGCCCTAATCCCGCGCCGCCGGCTTTCTCGCTTATTATTCAGACGACGTTCCAAGCTTCTTAATGAAGCAAGTGTTCCATTTGAAATCCTGCCGCAAGGTTAAATCGTATTTAGCCCGACATTTCCGTGCTTCAACTCCCCATGCTTTTTGAAACCGTCGGCCTTTCCCTCGGTCTCATTATCATTCCGGAAAATATCTTTCGCGAAATGAAAATATATCATTAATAAGTTAAGAAGCATGACAGAATGCCAAATCAGTCGGTATAATTAATTTGTTAAATAATTAAAATGATATTATAGAATACGAGCATTATTAAATATTTCTCATATATTGTAATAAAATCCTTAATTATTACAATAGGCTATTATTTCTGCTGCAACAGGTATAGATACTGGATAATCGGATTCACAATTTAAATGTTTTATAAATAAACTTGTCGGTGTAATTTCTCCTAATCAATACATATACAAAATTGAATCTTTTATTTTATTATATTTGCGTACGGCTTCAAAATTGTATTATATTCGCGATAAATTGATAAATATTGTACGTACGCTAATAAAATAAACTATGTGATATATACTATTAAAATAAGCCATACAAAAATCGGAAAAAATTTTAATTTTTAAAAGATTTCTAAAACAAAACTAGTGCTATAATGCTTTAGAAACACTATAATCCGCATATTCACAAAGAACCGCCGCAGGGGCCATCGACACTTCTGAATTACCGTGATTTACGAGACGTGTTAGAAAGCAGGAGGGATAAGGTATTCAGCGGGACGATAGGCTAAAGGGATCTTTTATCTGTAAGCCTACAGAGGATAATTATTCTCCGTGCGCGCCGATTGACGCGGGGAAGAGGGGGCGCGAATAATTCTCGACGAAAAGGGAGAAGCATGAAAACGACGAGAAGCGAGAGCAAAAGAGGAGGGTGTGGATAGTAATGAATCTACGATGGCAGTAAGGCAACTTGTCCGTCCTGACGACGGCAGTTTAACCCGATTTCCAAGAGGGTGAACGGTAGATTTGCGTAAAATCTTTGGATCCATTTTGTGGCTTCCGGGGGTTTTCGCGCGAACGCGTAAAGTCTCCCCGTCTACTTGGAATGCCTGCAGTCAATGGCTCGAGCAATAAACGTTCTCGTCGTTAAACCCCGGTGAAAGAGGGCGACGTAGTAATTGGAAGATGTAGTTCGTCGTTTGCGGCTGTTTCCAAACGCCACCTTACTCACTTAAGCACGTTGAGACATTCGTTTGCTGGCTTGCTCATAATAAACGACCAATCTTATGGAACTTAAATTTAAACTCCAATTTATACGGAGTCTATCTGTTTTCTCATTGCCCTAATTAAAAATATATTTCTCTATTGGAACTTTAGATTCTTAAAATTGATACTGACATTTAATTATACGTAATTCAATTTATTACTACTCACAGCGTAAAAGGAAGGATTTAAACATAATATAGATAAATTTTTAGACCTTTAATCGTTAAAGCATTTAAATGATATTGCAAATGTATGATGCACGCTTACAAAGGAAGAATTCTAAATCCTCGGGATTCTCACTTAGGACTGCTCGAGCCAGAATCAAACGCACCTGTGAAGGTGACATTCGTAAAATCGCGGGATAGATCCACTCCTTGTCGGTCTCACTGACGCAGCATCATCAAGAAGGAACGCTGATGGCATCGTCGGCGCTGTAACTACGTCTACAACGACAGACAAGCGTCGCGAGTCTACGTTCTCGAGTTTCAGCTCCAGCCTCGCGAAATGACTCTCTTCAGTGCGAGCATAAAAATCCGTCGGGATCACGCCGTTACGTTTCGCCAAGGCGTTGATGCGGACTGAGCGGAACGGGATCGAAATGCGCTTGCGCGACCAACCGACGGAAGTGGGTGCAAGGGTGGCCCGAGGGAGAAACAGAGAGAAGAATAAGGACTCTCCGCCGAGGCAACGAACATCACTCCCGGGGCAGGCGCAAGAATCACAACCGGACGCGGTCGTTGGATCGCAAGGCTGCCTCTGCTCTGTCTCTCTTTTCCTCCCTCCCCTCCGTCTGCGCGCAACCGTCGCTCGCTCTCCTCTCGTACAAAATTAACCCTTATCAACTCCGTGTCTACCACCACTGTTCTCCCCCTCCCCTCAACAACCCCACCAGATCTACAGCCTGGCTTCTTTCACTCTTCCTCCTTTTGTATCCACCACCATCGGCCACCTCCACATCAGCCGCACCCGGTCGCGGTAACATTCTCGTTCTCGTCATCATCGTCGTCGTCATCGTCGTCACAGCCTGCGAAGGGAGAACGAACTCTTTCCTCCTTCGCGGGACTTTATTGATCGTCGCCGCGATAAGAAGGTACCAACCAGCCGATGACCCGCGCGTTGAATCGCTACGACGAATATAGCCGACAAGAAATGCCCTAGGATTTATTCTTTATTTGATTTGTACGACGTCTTAAATTGTATATATTATGTTATTAACCGAGATTGCCTTTTCATCTTGCGTGGAACGGACTGTGTGTTTGCTTTATTTCACCCCTATTCTTACTTCCTTAATAGAAGATTATTTCTCGCGGGAACATCCTATGTAAACAGAAGTCTTCAGAAAAGAATACGGGTGCAACAGACCCGGTAGGCGGGTAGTGTTAATCTGTTTACACCACATGATACCCTCAGTGGACAATGAAGACAAACAGACTCGCGTGCAGCAAAATCCGCCGAAGGAATTTTTAAAATTTGCCACCTGCAACGAAAACCCGGTAGAGAGGGTGGCTGTCGCACAGGGCGGTGAATTGGAGTTCGTCGCCCGTAAAATCGCTTCTCGGTGCTCTCGGGATGTCACTGTAACTGCCGCGTACTACGTCGACGTCGAGGACAAAAGTGATCGATCGAGCTCTGGGGGGAGGGACTGTTTACGGGGAAAATTGTTTAGGGCGACAAAAGATCGCGTAAACCGCGCCCTAGATTTAAACAGACTGATGTTACGAAGCAACAATTGCATGACGCGTGATGATTCTCGTTAAACGTGCCTATTGTCATTTCCAATCGGGTAATGAGGTTGGACTTAATTATACTAATTAAGCCTTAAACAACTGGACTACATTTTACCTCACAATATTCATAATGAAAACAATCTGTTTAATGTTTTACTTGCCGTTATGTAAATGTACAGAAAGAGAACTTTTGAAAGGATACAAAAGCATTTCAAATCACCGCAATTGCCTAGACAATTTATCAAAAATTTCATTTACTACATAATGTATAGCACAAATAATTAGAAGTTGGGTATTTTGTATTATCAAAGAAGAAGTTAATAAGGCAATTAACATACTGGAAAACTTTTACATCGGCAAATTACTTCGAATAATTGCAATTTCCTTCGCTCTCGTGACCGACAAAACTGAAACAGACATTCAATCATTTCTACTCCCAACGCGGTATATAATCCATCGTACGTAAGCGGAGACCCTCCCTCTTAAGCCGGCAAAGTCAAACTGAAAATCAGAAAAAGGGGGAATTAAATCGGCTCCCAGCGGGGAGTGAGCGCGTTATGAAAACTTGGAGCTCGACGTTCGACGATAAAGATTCATTCGAGCCTCTCCACTTATTCCCTTTGCCGTTCTTCTCCCCTGTCATAGAATGTGTGTGTGTGTATGTGTGTGTGTTTGCGCAGAGCGCGAGCTCGAATGCGAGCAACCCCCGACGGCGCGGCGCGCCGGAGAGAAAGTCGGGGAAAAAGCCAACCCTGCCTGCCATCCAGAGCGTGTCGTTTTATATCACCGGAGAATTGGAATCGAAGCGGCGCGAGCGCGCGCGTCGATGTTAAAACGACCTTATAAAGTCCCATAAAAACACCGCCACCGACGTATACGTATTATCCTACCTCGCACACCGACCGTAAACTCGAGTTAAACTCCAGCCCCAGATTTTTAGATGCAAGCGCGAAACTGTTAGCCCCTCTGTGACGCTGCAGACAACTGCGTCCATGTGCAACCGAGCGTATCGCGCTAATCTATTTGCGAGCGGATGCAGCGAATTGGTCCATTTTTAGTATTGAAACCATTCGTTACCTGTAGTGCAAGCCCTCTAAAAGGGCCGTAGGCTAAACAATGTAATATTATGCCACATAAACGTTAAACAACCGCGAACAAAAGTCTCTAACGTTATATAGTTTCTAATTTTGCGATATGAAAATGAATATTTTTTTGTAATATATTTACGGTCTAAATATATCCGCGTTGTATTCGAGTAATTCGACGTCGAAGCATTTCCAGCCCCGCTGCGAATAATATTAAAACACGCAGTTACGACGCGCGCAGGGTGAAAGTTTAATAACCGTTGGTCGCCGACACGGCCGCGCGCTCGGCTTTCAATCTACAAGCGGATTATAATTTCTAGCCGACGCAATTTGGAGTACAGGTAGAGGTAGAGGTACGCCGGGAACGCGTCCGTCGCGTCCTGCAACAGCCGCTTAATTAACGGCGCGGAAAGTAAGGGAAAAAGGAAGGGGGAGTGGGTGGGTTGGGATGAGATGGGGTGGGAAAAGAAGCGACGGCGGGATGGGATGGAATACGTCGGTTATGGGATTTGGTAATGAAATTCGGTGGAGAGTTTGGCGGCTACGGTGATACATCATTCCGCCCTGCCTGCACCCCGTTTTCGCCCTCCGTCGCGCCTCTCTCGAGCTTTAATGCCAACGTGGCGGGCGAAGAAAGGACGATTCTGAAGCGGCAGGAGGAGGAAGCGAGGAGAGAGAGAGCGAGAAGGAGAAGGAGTGAGTGAACCTTCGCTAATGCCGCAATTTCGTCGTCCTTCTTCCACCGTCGACTTTTTTCCCTAATGATCACGGCTCACTTGACGGGGTGGAAAAACTTTTGGTCTTCCTCCAATAAAAGTTGGCACGTGTTCCCGCGCGACGGTGAATAAACGTCTCGGCGATTATGGCGCCGGTTCGACGTCCGACTTGACAGAAAACTTTGTTAATACGCCGGATCGATAGAGAAAGTTCCGCGACGTGTGTGTGAGTGTGTGTTTGTATGCGTCATAGAATTTAGACCTGTCGAAAATGTCGAAATCGTCAGGATTATGAAAACGGATGTTTGAGGATGGAAGAATCTTAATTTTGATCGATCACGGAATCGTTCGATTGCCTAAGGAGAAAGGAAATTTAAAAGTTTGACGCAAATACTTATTCTATGAAATATATAATAATTGTAAGAAAATGAGGTGTACTTATCAAAAAATATTACATTACATTATTCATTCATATTTAGATTTCGTTGTTTTTACTTAAATGTTTGTTAAAACTTTCAACTCATGTTAAACTCGTATGCTATATAAGACAGCAGCTTTTGCGCGTCTTGCGCTTCTAATACACTCCTATACCTCTTCATTATTGCTTCTTGCCGGTGGCGATTTCTTTCGTACGATCCGGACTATAATCCGATCATTCTGGTAGCATTCACGTTCTTACCTTTTCTGGCTTTATCCGGCGACGTGGGCGAGTCGGCGTTCGCGTGAATCGAGGCCGTTGTCGGGCCAGAAGATAAAGTCGACGACGAGACCGCCGGCGTACAGGACGCAACAGGACTGGCGGCCGCGGCCGGCAGCAGAAGTTTCCTCTTATGGTTGCAGAGCTTGGTCATCTCCCGCGTCTTGCCCTGATCCGGGCTCCAAGGTCGCGTCGCAACCTGAAACAAGAACGTGCACGCCGTTCGTTATTCGCCTGATCGTATCGCAGCCAGTGCGATGGAGCTAACGAGCTAACTTCGGATCATTTCGAACACATGACGAGAAAGTCTCGTCAAAGTTTTAATATCCTCTCGAGGCTTAGGGGCATCAGTTAAGGATCTCTTGGAGGATTGTCGAAATCACATCAAGGACAAGGACTTCGCTCTATGTGAATACTTTCATCGGCCAACTATATGTCATCGACATCGAATCTGACCGACCGACGTGTGCGGAATGTGGCATTTATGCTATTCACAGTTAGCATTTTAATACACAGTATATCTTGCATAAAATAAAGACTTTTTTGCCTCCGTTTAATTTCGTCGCGGATCGTGCGGATCGCCATAATTGGCGAATATCGACGCGCACGAAGCGAGAACCGTGCGAGGCGAGAAGAAGGGGAGAGGAGATGCGAGAGAAAGAAAGGGATACTGAGGGAGCCGGTGGCCCCGCAGACTGACGATGCTCATGAATCTCATGATCGATGCGCGACGCTGCGAGCGGATTTAAAACGCGTCCGAGTTGGAAGGCCGCAGGCCGATGCCCGTAATGGCCGTGCGCGGGCCTCGCCGTGTTACTTGTCAGCTCGGGAGACGTTCCGCAGCAATTTACGGCCGCAAACACGATGCCATTACCAGCGTGTCGTAAATAAGATGATACCGCTTGATATATAAGAAGTATCCGTAAAGCGCGCCGCGCGAAATGTTAATCGTCATGACAGTTTTTCCGACAATCGTCGCAACGGCCGTCGATCGCGTGGCTAATAATAAACGAAAGAGTGGCGTCATGTTTAGATCGCAATTTTTAAATTAAAAATGAAATTAAATTAAATTAAAAGATCAAATTAAATTATCAAAGATCAAAAGACTCACGGATATAGGGCAAGCCAAATACATATTTCACGACAGAGACTCGGTAATATTCGACGCTACGCGCGAGCGGTTTACAGATGCGGATCACCGAGCGAAAAGGAGACGCGCGCGAATTCGTCGCAGCCTATGTGAGAGGGTACCCTGGCGGGTTAATTAAGAACGACCCGAATACGGCGACGGGATTATACACGCATACTCGCGACGGCGGCGGTCGGCCTTGCATCGTCGAGAATCCGACGAGTCGCCGCGCCGATGTAATGACGTACGCACACCGGCGGTTAACTCAATCGGAACGTGTTTTCTGCGACTGGCCTATTATTCATTCCCCTTCTGGCGAGGAGGCGCTCATCAGCGATGATCACTTTACTGGCTAATCACGCCCACTCGTCCGCCGCGATACCGATGAGGAGAGAGAAACGAGAGGGGAGGTCTGCGTCGTGACGCGACCCATCACGGCAATATAGCGGATCAAAGATCTGTCGTGACAGACACACACATGCACGGAGGACGAAAGATTATAATTTACTAATCGATTACGACTATCGCCGGATCGATGAGGTTTTTTTTTTACCGAGAAGGCACAGCAATAAGTAGCATCATTCACTGGAAAGATGCATCTTTTGAGGACGAAGAAAATTACGGGTTATAAATAAGATGCATAAAGAACAACGATATGATGCAAACGTATACACGCGATACTTGTGTGAGAGCGCTAAAAAATTAAGTTTCTTCTCCATTCGAAAGTCATCCGCATTCTTTGCAAAACGAAACCGCTACAGACATGCCTACGTGTCACGCGCGAAAACTCAATCTCCTTTTTTCGTTTTTATTCACGGCTCGCTCGATGCCGTTGCCTGCGAGCGTACTGTTGCGGTTACGTCGTACAATTGTATGTGCGTGCGCGAGGCATGTACGCAAGGTGTTTGCATCACTACCTAAATAATCCTCGTCACCGAGAGAGTGCATACGGGCTGCATATACACACGCTCCGCCGCCGCTTTCCACGGCATTATTTCCCGTCACACGCCGCCCGTTGCACGCGAGGTAATCACGACTGGCGACCGGCGGCGGAAACCGCGATTTAATCCTTTTTCTCGGACGCAAAATGAGACGCCGTACTGCGACAGCAACGACTTTAATACGATAGCTTTTACCCGTTCCCTTGTGCCCGGATGAACGTAGCGAGAGAAAATCTCTCTCTCTCTCTCTCTCTCTCTTGATTAGACGATCTCGAAAGGGAAAATAAAGTGCGGCTGCGCTGGCTGTAATTACCACGCCAAACGAGCAAGCCTGTACACGCAGTGTTCCACTGGGTTTTACATAAAATTATTTTATATAATAGGTTACTATACCGCATATAATTGGACGGACTATTACATCGGGAGAAAATGAAATTAATACTGCAAACTCTTTGAAATGTCCCGAAACAGATACGTCTGCTATAAAAATTTTTTCCACTGGCGCGCAGAAAATAAAGTACAACGAGTTACTGCAAAATGCAGTATTACTCTTATTTCTCACGTATATACATATGTATAGCAATGATTCTAATTACAAGAACGTCTCCGATAAAATTTAATGGTAATGGAACAGAGAAACTAGTTAGAGACGTAATAAACCTGTCGTACAATCTAGTCTCATAATATTTAAATCTCCTTATTCGCCAATACTAAGATGTTCATAAATAACGCGCGTTAATTACCCGCACGTAAAACGAGCCAGAGGGACACAATTCGCGCATGGTATTTACGCTCTAACATCGTAAATCGAAATATATACATACGTATATATTCTTGTAACCAATGCTCGGGCACATATATAAAGCCTCCGCGGTACTCGCCGCGAGAGTGTCCCGTTCCTCGATCGCGAACACGCGACGATCTTCGCGAGTTCTTACCTCAAGAGAGGTAAATCATCGGGTGCCACCACACGTCCGCCGACTCCGGATCTCGGGGCCCCAATCAATTCCGCGCACAGGGGCCCCTATTCCTCTCTCTCTCTTTCTCTCTCAATGCGACGCGACGCGCTGACCTCGAGGTCGTTAAATTAAATTTATGCCAGTCCCCCCCCCTCGCGCTTCCCGCCATTCCCCCGCAAACGTTCTTGCATACCTATACACATATACTGCGCGCGTTTATCGTTACCGTGCGACATTACACTGAATTAACGTAACAAGGCTATTAGTCCGCGATTTTACGACTTTAATTGTGACAGCGGGACCAACCAACCACGCTCGTACCCGAGACTCACAAATTGGCTCTCGAGACAATCGCGCGGGGGCACGTCGTGCCGTATACGTCGTACGTACCTGTCAACCGCGGATAATTAAACTCGCGTACGTACGTAAATGTACGATTGTTCGCAGGCAACGTTCCCAGAGAATGTCGGCCCGCGCCGAATCGCAGATCGAGTGACTACGCGCTCTCTTTCGGGTAACAAGTGGCAGCCCATTCGTTACGGCGTGCACGTGCAATAATGTTTCGCTAAACGCCGAACTAGATATTGTATAATTGAATGAAACGGCGAACGTGCGTCGTTACGTAAAGTCGCGCCGTTTAAAGCGAGGCCGAATCAATTATCGGAATCTCTCACAATTGTTCAGTTATTACGAATTTCCTGCGACGTGCGCGGTATAAAATAAAAGCGCGCTATGTAATTTGATTATATATGCAGCGCTTAAGCAAATATCTATACATTTATACTTATCGCAACGAATTTGTAATAAATTGTAATAATATTAGTGAAGCTCAACTGGTTGTATTACGCGCGGCGCAATCGATTTAACAATAATTTTAAGATAATTGATTTTAAACCCACTTTCGTGTTACGACGTTATGCAACTTTTTTATTTTGCGGACATTCTCGTGACGAGAATATAAAATTTTATAGAGAGAAAGAGAAAGAAAGAGGAGAGAGAGAGAGAGAGAGAGAGAGATTCGCGTTATTAAACGCTGCCACTATTAAAAGTCTCGTGTCAAAGCCGGGAATATGGATCGACAATGAGCGTTCGTCGACGTCAATGCGAATATCTAATTTACGATCGACGACGCTGTGTTCTCGCATTAATATCGCCATTATTGAACTCGGGCAATTGTCGGGCGTAATGAAAGGTGCCCCCGTGTCTGCAATCGTCTGCAAAGAGCATTTGGCGCTTGCTATTGCAACGTGACGTTACGAAACGCGAGATGCAACGACGTGCAATTAATTTAACTGAATCCCTAAATTGTACGCGCTGAAGAATAATACGAAAATCGAAGTTGTCACATTGTGTCAAACACGATCGTTTAACGATGAAAAATAAATTATTTTCCATGCGACGTGCCGTTCAAATATAGTTCGGCCTGTTCGGATTTAGAAAGAATAAACGAACTAATTCCGACATTCTCTTATAAGTAATGAATCGATAAATTGGCGACTGAAAATAGACCCGCGTGTACGAAGAGTCTCGGAGATATTTAGGTCACCAGACACCGGTAGTTAATTAATTCATTAATTAGTAACTCTTCACCGGTAATTGCGTGCCCGCCTCCATTTCTCACAAAAGGTGCTCACCTTGATTACGACATACACGTGTCGTAGAGACACGTACGTGCGCTCGCGCGCGCGTATGTGTACGTATACTCGCTTCCGAATATTCAATTAATCCCCTAATGAACGACAATTATATAGCCTCCGCCGCGGCATTACACGCACAATGCGCGCCCTCGTCTTATTATAGATCGCGGAGGCAACAGGGGAGAGATGATAAAATCGAAGGTGGCCGCAACATCACGGTAAGCTCGATGAGCCGTGACAGTTTCAGAAGTCAATCGTCGACGAACGTGGGCGTCGTCGTCGTCGCAATGTCGCCGTCGAGCGTCACGACGATCCGGGAATAATCCGCACCATCCAGGCACAGGGTGGGAAAAAGAAGCGCGATCTCCATACGCTCGGTAATCCATCGATGATCATCTGGTTGGCTAAACTGATACCGATTCATTACGCGATAAGTCATTCGCGTAGGATATGCAGTTTCCCTCGTGGGAAGGAACGGCTTTATGCCAACGTCGCTCCGTGGCAGAGGAACGAAAGGGAGCGCGCGCGTGCTA